GTGGTGGAGATATTGAGCTTGGGGCAAATGCAATGAATTCAGTAGATACGGGCTTGGATAACTTCTTCAAAAAGGTGTTCATAAATTTACTAAATATATATTAGTCTCTAATTGGCACAATCTATTCCATCATCTCATCTTAATTCTTTTGATTCTTCTTTTTAATTAATTAATCTCATGCATTTTTTTGGCCAACTAATTAACCTTGTACATTTTATTAATATAAAATTCATGTTTCTCTGAAAAAAAAATGGTAATTCATTTTGCATGTCTCCATTTGAATGTTACTGTGAATTGGTTTCCAGGTTCAGGAGCTTGATAAGCAATATGCAAAGCTGGATAAGCTTCTAAAAAAGCTCCAGGTATAGTTGCTTCAATTTCTTGCACTTGGCATTTATTTGAGTGTAATATGCATTGACTGGGTGAACAAGGTTGTCCATGGTCAATCAGTCTGAAGAAATGGTTGTGATACTAAAATTGGTCATAATGAACACTTGTGGGAAGCCTAGAATTGCAATTGTCTAGAGCTTTTCTAGTACTTTAGTTTTTACAACACATGAACGAACCTGTTAGAATGAACAGTTTATTTGCAGTTTGCTTGGGCAAGAGAGGGAAAGAGAATATTGAAATGACACCATTTGGATTTTCTTTTTCTGTCTTCCAAAGCATAAGAAAAAAACTTGAGATGTTTCTTGGTAATTTCATGACTAAGTATTCTATTTCAGTTGACTGTCTATATTCTTAACTAAAGATTAAACAAGCGCTCTGATAATTTTGGAGTTAAACTTTTATGTAGGATGCGCACGAGGAGTCCAAAGCTGTAACCAAGGCTCCTGCCATGAAAAGTTAGTCCAACCTGTTTACATTGTTTTAAATCTTCTGCTCTGCATTGGCTTGACAATTGAATGATTGAGTTGCATTTTTATCTGCAATGTTGCCTATATATTCTGTATTTTCCAACACCACAAAGTCCTTTCTCCATTTCGTTTATTCTCACCTCCTGGTTAAAACTGCCTCAATGACCTGTTCTATACAATCAATCTAGAATAGTAAAAGAGGAATTGATGAGTCCTAGCCTCTTTCTTGTATGTGCCATAGTATCTGCAATTCTGCAGCTCGATGATTAAAATTAATCATTCATATAATATGGTGTGATATGTGTGTGGATATGCAAACTAACACTCCTTTGTGGCTCTCATAGGAAATTGCTACTAGGAATCCTAGTTATAAAGTAATAAACAGAAAACAAAAGAGAACAGTTTACTTGATAAAGAAATAGACTTCAAATCGGTGATATTGTGTGATCAAATAAAGTTCATAGTATAGACTTATTAATTACTTATATGCACTTAGTAATTTTTTTTTGATCCGATACTCCTCTGCAGCTATTAAGCAGAGAATGGAGAAAGACGTTGATGAGGTTAAAAAAATTGCCCATCATATCAAGACGAAAATTGAAGAACTTGACAAAGAGGTGAGAAGTGAGATCTATACTATATCTTTCTGTGCTATGTTTGATACCTTGATTCTAGCTATGAACTTCCTTGCCTCCTTTCTTAGCTCATTATGTATTGCAGAATTTGGCAAATAGGCAGAAGCCTGGTTGTGGAAAAGGATCAGGAGTTGATCGGTCAAGAACAGCAACAACCACGTAATTAATGATCCAAATTTAAATTTTTCATTTTTATTGTCTCATGCCTTAGAAAACTAAGTTGATTTGGGGATTGCATTGTGTCTATAGTATAGTATACAGCTTTTACAGTGCACTGATCTTACATGATTCTTCAACTATTTACAGCACAAGTTCCTTCACTGCTTAATCATACCCTATAGAGAGAAAGCTTTACTTAAGATCATCATTACAAAAGATTATTGGAAATCAATATTCCATCTTTAAGGCAACCGTTTTGGGATTTTGCATGATGTTTGTTTAACAATATGCATTATATTTTGGCCAAAAAAAAAACAATATGAATTTTATATCTGAATATGTATCTAAGAAAATAAAGAATGTTTGGAGAGAGTAAATCTAGAGTAAGGAAGGACACTGTCATCTCAATTTAAATGCAAATTTTCAATCAAGCATTTATATATTGATGCTTGAGTGATATGTCTATCAGTATGGCTGCATGAGAGTTTAAAAGAGGTTTTAAAAATGTAAGCAAAATAAAAGATAAAATTATGTTATAACTAACTTTTTTACTGTAAATCTTACCAGTGACTTTCTGGCTGTTTTTCCATGTCAAATTGGAGGGCATTGCTTTTTTTTTTTTAATGTCATGATTTTTGACACAACAATCTGTTATCATCCCAATTAATGAACGAGAAACCAGATTAATAATATGATAATTATAGCAACCTGAAAGGAATAGAGAAATTAAAGACCGAACCGGTTGATCCAGAGTTGAAAAATGAAAAAAGTACCTTCGTTGGACAGTGTAAGTCAAAACCAAGGACTCTTCTTTCGCAACTATAAACTATTAGTCTACTACACTTCTGAGTTTCATTACTTAATGGTCTTTTTCAAATTTCATCCGTGCCTGACTTGTCTTGGTATTGCAGTTCCTTGAGAAAGAAGCTGAAGGACAAGATGGCTGAATTTCAGGTAGACTGACTTAAAATTTTTGGTAGTTTTTTTTTTTTTTTTGAAAAATCAGTTCTTCAATCTAATTTGTTTCAAAAATCTTTGCAGGTCCTGCGGGAAGCCATCCATCGAGAATATCGTGAAGTTGTTGAGAGAAGGGTCTTTACAGGTTTGGATTTCTACTCGTTACTTGTTGATTTTAACTATCTGCAATTTGAAGGCCTCAATTTTCCCTGATATAGTTTTTCCCTTGTTGTCCTGTAATTGTCAGTGACTGGCACGAGAGCTGATGAGGAGGTATTTTTTATATTCTAAGTTTTTGCTTTACTCGAAAAAAATGTCTTTTTGAAGTTATTCTTATAATTATTTAACATCGTACAGACAATTGATAGATTAATTGAGACAGGAGACAGTGAGCAAATTTTCCAGAAGGCTATTCAGGAACAAGGAAGAGGCCAGGTTTGTCTCTTCTCTTATGTGTGGCCTTTACCTTTACTCCCTCCTCAAGTCCCTATTCAAGATCCCTAAATCTTCCCAGTTTGAATGTTAACATTCCCTTCTACACTTCCCCTCTCTCCATGTTAGTCCTGGGGCTGGATGAAATATGTTGTGGACATTCCTTGGGAAGCAATATCTAATGTTCTGAAATTTAAGTATTTTCCTTTGTTTCATGCGTTTTATTTATCCTTGTAGATAGTAGATACCCTGGCAGAAATCCAAGAACGGCATGAAGCGGTTAGAGATGTTGAGAGGAAACTTCTTGAATTACAACAGGTATTTAATCAGTCCATTTTGATCGATCAAACTAGTATATATACTAACAGATTAGTCTGTTTTTTAGCAGTTTGGAATGTTGCGTGTATGTACCTTGTTTATTTATTTACACTCTGTTTTAGTAAACAAAGCTTTATCTATCGACCTATATTATCTAGATAGCCGTAAAATATATCAAAACTCTTTTCAAGACACAAGGCAGATATGTAATTGAAGAATATTTTTTTTTTTTTGGGTGGGATTTTAAAAAAAAAAGTTTGCTTTAAATTTATCATGAGCACACTCTCATACAAAAGATAAGAGGGATGGAGTCTGGTCGATGATATTAAAAGATTTCATGTCTCTGCAGATATTCATGGACATAGCAGTGCTGGTTGATGCACAGGGGGATATGCTGGATAATATAGAAACACAGGTATTTTTTGCACTCCCTTGGCTACAAGGCACTCATTGAACAGAATTTTATCCCCGGGGGGGGGGGGGTGGGGGGAATCACAAGGAATGCTAATGTTGATCCTATTTGATTTGTTATTCTGTTTGTTGATTGGTCTCGTCATTGCTCCTTGCATTTAGGTCTCAACTGCAGTAGATCACGTGCAGCAAGGCAATACTGCCCTCCAGAAAGCCAAGAGCCTCAGAAGAATTCAAGGAAATGGATGTGCATTGCAATCATTATACTCCTTATTGTTGTCATAATCATTGTCGTTGCCGTCATCAGACCATGGGTTAACAAGAAGGGTGCTTAGTGACCCATTGGCAATGTAAATAGTCCGCGCTTGTGTTGACACAAGCTGATTTTTTTTTTATTGATTATTCTTATTTTGCGTGTTTCAATTCAAACTCTGCCCTTGTTCTTTTCTGTTCATGGATATTGGCCAAGCGTGTTAACAACAATTGAGTTGTACAATGTCGGAGACAACGAATGAATTCATTTATTCATTGGCATTTGGTTCCCGCTAGATTATCTCTTTTTTGCGTTTCATGTTCTTGCATTTGTAGCATATGAAAAAAAAAATGATCATTTAATTCTTTTAATTTTAATTTAGTTGTAATTTAATTTTAAATTTTAATTTATAACTCAATCTTTATAATTTTAATTCAATTGTAATTTAATTTTTAAGCTTTAACTGGTGTAATTTAACCTTTATATTTTAGTAATTTAAAATATTGGTCCTCTTATTTTAAAAAAATTATAAATATTAAAATTATTTTAAAATTTTAATCTTTAAAAATTTTAGTGATTTAAAATATTAATCCTAAATTTTAAAATAATTTTAATTTTATAATTTTATTTTTTAAAATATAAAAACAAATATTTTAAATGTTTGAAATTATAGAGATTAAGTTGCACAAAGTTAAAATTCAAGAATTAAGTTATAATTGAGTTAAAATTATAAAAATCGAATCATAATAAATCAAAGTACAGATATTGAATTACATTTAAGTTAAAATTATAAAAATTAAATTAGTAATTTTCTCTAAAACATTTATGGGATGTTATGGCATTATACCCAATGCATATACCTAGTAAACCTGTGCGTCTCATATTGCAGGAAAGAAGCATGTTTTATTTTGTTTTATTTTATTTTTTGTCCGAGCATGCTTTACTCATACATTGACAGATTCCGTCTGTTCAAATATGTGTTCTCAGAAAGGAAAGAAGCCTCGTTTTTTATTATTAGCTACATCGACGGATTCCCCTGTTTTCTCTCTACAAAGACAATGTACGGAGCAAACCAATAAAATTCATATTGTTTACAGCAATGAAAATCTGATGGAACTTCGTCGAAGCCATAATTCGTACATAACCATGTAGAAAGCATCAAAATCGACTGGAGATGAATGCCATTTGAAGTGTTTCCTCACCTTCAACACATTGCTGTGTAGCTTGAGGTACCCTCAGGATTGATATCTTTGAGCACCTTCTTTAGCCGGGGTATGTCAATGGCGTTCACAACGACAGAGAAGCTGTTCCAGTTGAGCACGTCTGCAAATGGGAGGTCATAGTAGTCAGCAACAACCACAGGAACACAACCATAATATAACGAATCTCCAATACGAGCCGTGTTCACTTCATAGCCTTTAGCATGCAGGCAGAATTTGCTTCCTAATAATTCATCAGCATAAGGTGTTCTGAGTCGCCCAGCATGCGCAAATATTTCTGAGTCGTTTCCCCATCTTCTCACCAGCTCTTTACGTTCACGGGAATTCATTCCTCCGGCGAAGAAGGCTAGCTTTTTCCTGACACAGCAAATAATAACTTGTCTTGATTTCAACTTTCAATTCTGATAAATCTGTCGAGGCAAAATCATAGCCATATCAACGGATCATGTTGCTCTCTTTTCAACAAATCTATGAATGCGTACCTGTTCGAGGACGCAAGGGTGGGCGGATTTCCTTTTCGAGGCCAAATTTGCGGGAGACAGGCGTCCTTATGAGAAACATAGCCAGTTAAGAAATAACTAGAAGAGCACACAACCTGTATCGCGTTGAACTTCACTTGAGGAGCTTTTCCCATGGCGGATCTTCCCACAGAATGACAAGCGACGTAAAAGTGATCGGAGCCGCCCGAGCGGTTCCAGTAGGGATACTTATGACTGATTTCCTGAATGTAGTCTCTGACGAAGTCTTGGATTCCTCCGACGCCGACTCGGCGGTCGTGCCTCAAGCTGGCGATGGAAAAAGGCATGAAGAAGAGATCGGCGTTGGCTGGATCCTCTGTGATGAATTGGCTTTTCATGAGAGCTTTCTTGAAGTAGCTCTCACTGGCGTAGTTGCCGCCGGGTTCTTCATCCGCCGGCAAGAGCACGTTGGCGAAAGGATCGTCCTTGCTGTGAGGATACACGTATATCTTTAAACTCATTTTCATTTCTCTGTAGTTTTCCACGAACACGTCTCTCTCATGGTACACGTCCTTGTTCTTCTCCATTTCCCTCTCACCTTTTGATAACACGAAATTCATATCAATAGTAACTTAACTTCTATGATATCACAATTCACACCACATTGCTCACAGAATTCATCTCAAATTCTGTCCAAATGCAATTTAAATGCAGTAAAAGGAATAATTAGTACACTATAATTAGATGTCATCGGGCTTTACTTTAAATTTTGTGCAATAAAATAAAGAAAAAGGGTATGAGTTGAAAGTACACTTTTTTTTTTAAAAAAGACATTTTAGAATTCAAAATGATTTAACTTTTTGCAATGGAATCTCCATACAGTTAATTATGGTCAGAAGTGATTTGAATGAGCTCATGAGTCATGAATATGAAAGGCAACCTGTGGACTGCAGTCCAAAACAGAGGACAGAGAAATGTTAGGCTACGGTTCCGGAATCCCAAATTCCCTGGGAAACAAATTAGCAAAAGTTGACACAACCTAAGAGTTTCAACTTCGTCTGCGTTTGAAATTCAAATTTTATTTTAATTTTTTCACAATTTAAAATTCTTTCTGAGCTTTTATTATTTTAAATTTTTATGTGTACCCTTGTTACACAACCTAATGATAATAACCTCTATTATTTAAACTACCCAAATCGAGAATCTTAAATACATAAATTTAAACTATGGGATTCTAAATTCAACTTTCAAATTCAAACCCATCTAAACACTACTTTACATAATTGTAAAAATAAAATCTCCACATATATTAATTCTCTTAAATAGCACTTGGGAATTAACTGCACAATTTGGTAAATTTTCAGTCTGAATAAAAAGTTTAACTAAAAAAATAAATATTAAAAGTTTTGGTCCTCCTATGCCAAGACTCTCTCTCTCTCTCTCTTGAAGGTCCCGAACAAAGAAGAAAACAAAACAAGTAAAACTTGTATAGCATCTTGTAATTACTGCACGTGTAGTATTTAATTTGAAGATGCATTTCAGTTGTATTGCTCGTTTATATACGATACAAAATCTGTGTGTGTGTGTGTGTGTGAGATAAATTGTGACTGGAAGCATTCGAACAAATTAAAGCTTCGCAAAATGATACGCAACATCATGTAAAAAAGTCAGATATCAGGGTTCCGACCATGAAGCATTGCATGCTGCGCACAGCTCCGATCGATGATCATAATATATATTAATGATAAGTAAGTTATAACCTTAGGAACAAGAAACTTGAAACATAGCAAAGTGAAACAAACGAATGAAAACGACATGGATCGCGAATTCTTTCACCTCCAGACGCAATAATTACCAAGCTAATTCATCTTGTAAATTTAGCGACTCGCAGCAACGGATACGAAACTACCTGATTGGCATGGAAGCAAGCGAATGATAATAATATACATACAAACTTACCAATTGAGGTGGCCCGTTGACTTCTTAAAGCTTCACCGACAGCCCCTTCGGAAGCAAAAGATTTCAAGGATTGAGAAGAATTTGTGTGTAAGGTTTGGATGAAACGAACGGTCGTCGGAGAAGGGTGAGGGTCGAGAGTCTTAGAAGGTGGCGATTCCAAGAATAAATCAGCCGGGGCTGTGTGGAGGAGAGGGATGAAGAAGTTGGAGATTGAGTATAAGTAGAAGAGAATGAAATAAGAGGACAAGAGAGCCAGCCATGTAGGTTTCGACTTCAAGAACAAGCCCTTGCGTGAGCCTGATCCTAAAAGACCTCTCTGAGAGTATGAGGAGAGACGATCCATGGCGACAGAGAAGAGACACAGAATCGTTGAAAAACAGTAAATAAACACGAGCACAACACGACGCTGTCTTTGCTGGCAGAGACATTCTATGACCCAAATGGTCAAAGGTCAAACTCATTTTTTGGGCCTAGCAGCCATTCAAAGCCCATTACCATTATTGACACCAACCTGGTACAAAATGATAGGCCTTATCCTGTAATATTTGGAATGGTCCTATGTGTTCAAATTACCAAGAAAAATTCTACCAAAACAGTATTACCAAGAAAAAAAAGGTTAGGTCCACCAGATCGAACCCAAGGTACCAAACCACGCATGCCTCTAGCTCTCTATCTCCCACGAGTTGGTGTTTCGGAATGTTTGGTAATAGACTGGGTTTGCTAAACGTGATCACGTGCCCTGCAACAGACAACCTCTCACTACAAAAACTGAGCTACCGCCTCCAACTTCTCTGTGGCCTTCCTATTTCCAACTTCCTTGCAGTTTTCGGCTGAGCTCTCTCTTGTTAATTTCTCTGGTATGTCTCTCTCTATTGTCTCTTTTATGTTTTAACATCAACTTACGTATGATCTTTAACAAGTTCAGTTTTACATAAACTGTGAGTTTAGAATTAGATACGTTGATTCAGTATTCGTGTAGCGTGTAGATTGCAAAATATCAGAGAGAACGCACCCACGCTTTCGATGAAGACCAGAAAGAATTTCATGAAGACAGATGCATAGATGTGACTGTTTTTACTTTTTAGTTCGACTTCAGCCGTGAGAATTTCCCCTGTGCATGCCTCCTTTCATGCTGTATGTAGAACATATTTCTTTATCGTTATCGTGTGGACTAAATTGTTATATATGTCTGTTACGTAATTAATATGTCAAAATGAGTTTCATTACAAAGTTGATAAGTTAATGATGAAAACAACGATAGATGGATCGACTTTTATCCTACACATTTTTTTTTTTGGGTTTTTATATGTTTCGTAGTCTTATTCGAAATACTGTCAAGTATTGAATATATACATGAATTAAAATTATAAAAGAAAAAAATTAAATTATATATGCGTGAATTAAGATGTTATGTGATGTCTTCAACTCTTGATTCACCCTTTTCTCCATACATAGAAGTAACCGATAGGACAACTAGAGTTCAGTACGGAGGGATGTGAACTTGAGAGGAAAGAGGTTACTTCTTCTTCTTTACTTGCAATCTCTTCCTCGTTTCATTATTTAATTTTGTCCATCAATTAAAATATATGACAAAACACTCAAAATTACTAAAAACTTTTACTACTTTTGAAATTAAAGTTTTATATTCGTTATCTACCAAAAAAAATTCCTTCGAAATATTCTCTTTTCTTCATTTTTCTCCCATTTCTCTCCAGCCATATCATTTATTTCTTTGAAAATATTTAAATCCCAATATCATCTTCCAAACTTTCAATGCAATGCCAACATTATTTTCATAACTTTCATTTATATGATCACTTTAAATGTCGATAATTAGTCTCATTTGAAATATAATATGCTTTTCCCTTTCATGCTAAAAGTTGATAAATGTACACGGGAGGCTGATAAATTTTTTTTTTCAAAAGTGTGTCTTTTGACATTCCAAAAAATGATTAAAGCAATTAGCAAGCTAAGGAAGAAAAAATGATATCTAAGTAAATACTCTAAACGTATCTTGTAATTAAGTTATTATCTTTTGCATTAGTTTAAATTAAGATCCTTTGACAAATCATCGTAACAAATTTCCAGCTATAATATCATATGAAAGAAATAAATCTCTTTTCAATTACTTATAATTCAAATGTTCCGTTTCTCACATTGGAACATTTCAATTAACCATCCTTAATTAGAGGATCCTGTTAATTATTTTCTTTCAGTTCTATGATCACACACACACACACACACTTGGTCGAGGTTAACTAAATATATATACATGCATGTCATGGTTTATTAGAGACAATGGAAATTGATTCATCAGAAGGTTATCCGTCGTGCGTGTATAGCTTCCGTGTCTATCGTGATTTTGAAGACAGCGAACAAATAGATCACCAAACACATGGAAAATTATCTCCTGGCCAGTAGAATAATATTAAAATGCTAAATATGTCGAATGTACTTTTACAGTACAAGAAATTAATGAAGCAAACTAAACATTTTTTTACAGCATTTAAGAGACTGTAGGATGATATGTATGTGATACTAAATGGAGGTTCGTACACAAGTAGTCTCACAGCATACAACTGCACAGATTGACTTCACTCTATGACGAACAGGACCTTATCCAGTTTGTCGAACAAATTAATTAAGCAAACTATATAGCTAGCTATAGCATATAAATATTACCCGCATAAATCTTGCTGGTTCACGCGCAGCGAGTAGTGATGATTACTTGAAGGAACAGCCTTACTGTTGATGATCTCCTCCGAAACTCTGGAATTCAGCTTCCCAAAAGGAAAGGTCGAAAAATTGTTGGTGGGAAGAAGAAGCTACCAGATGTGCCGGTGGAGCCGCAAACACGTGGCGGCCGGCGGCCTCCGTCTGTTGGTTATCAAGTGCTTCGTTATCATTGATCAAAGAATCCAGAAACGAAGATAGTGTTTCTTCCTCCCCAATCATCTTCCCATGCCGATCTCTTTCAACCTCGATCCCATTTTCGAACGTCACCACTCTGCTGCTACTTCTCCCCCAGTTATTCCCAACAGTGTCAGGACTGTTATTTTGAATAGCATCATTTGTCTGATTTTGCTGGCTGCAGCTACCAATCTCTCGAGCACAAGTAGTGGAAGCGATTTCTGCGACTGGTTGAGGATTTGATGTACTTGTGTTCGATTCATGATAGACATCTTGAGATTTTGAATGATTTTCGAGAGTGAGTAAGGGCTTGTGAGTCCTGGGGTCTATTCCCTGACTTATGAGCTTCTTGCTGAGATGGGTATTCCAGTAGTTCTTAATCTCGTTGTCCGTCCTTCCAGGTATCCTCCCAGCGATCAGAGACCACCTATGGGAATATCGTAAACAGAAATATTGAAGAGGATGATACAGTAAAACCCTAAAAACGGAGAAATCAGTGGAAGAAGCTGAGCGCCTATGGTGGATCGAGAGGGTTTTTTTTTTTTTTTTTAAGTGTTGTTAATTGTTGTTACCTGTTGCCCAGCAAGCGGTGAAGGCGCAGGATGAGATCTTCCTCATCAGGAGCAATATGGCCTCTCTTGACGGAGGGACGGAGATAGTTCATCCATCGGAGACGGCAGCTCTTGCCGCAGCGTTGCAGCCCCGCCCGCTTGGGAAGGGTGCGCCACCGTCCTTCACCTTCTTTCTTCACAAAATTGGCCAAAACCTCGTCTTCCTCCGGCGTCCACGGTCCTCTCTTTATCCCTACCTTGCTACAACATGGCGTGATCTGGCCTTTTACCCTTGGACTCCTCATTTCCCCTTCGATTCTCTGAGCTTATATATGTGTTGCAATTCGGCGATTGCTCGTTAATTATATATCTGTAGCGATCCACGATAGAGAAGCTAGATATATGGCTAGGGTTTCATGGTGGCAGGCGAGTATTATGAAGGCCGACGTAACCTGAAAAAGAGAAGAGATTGTCGAAGGCACAAAATACAATTGAAGACCTGATATGGAAAACAGGTGTTTGTATTTGAATTTTGACCCATTTACATGTTAGACCGAAATATATAGATATATATAATACTTTTGTGTTGTACTGTTGTCATCTTAACAATAAGAACAAAAATTATTGTGTAGAATGGGGTGACTTTTGGCCTAAGAATTCTTATGCTATCTTCTGATTCTTGGCAGCCAGTGGACGAATAGGACGGTTCTAACAGGGGCCTAGTGGCCCCACTCTATGGATAAAAGCAAAAGGAAGTGGATAAATTTTTTAAGAAAAATGACAAAAAAACCCAAAATAATTAATTAATTTAATTTAAATATCAAGTGTTAACTTTTATAAATTTTTAAGTTCAATTCCTAATTTTATAATTTTATTATTGTGATAAATTTATAATTTATTTTTAAGATTTTAATACAGTTTATGAAATAAATAAATTTATTTTTTTATTAAAATTTGGATTACAAATTGCGAATTCATCATGACGAAGTTGAAAAAATTAAGAACTAAACTTATAAATTTTTGAAAGTTAGCATTTAAAATTTAAGTTAAATTAATTGATCTTTTTAAGGCCTTTCCATCATTCTTTCATTTTTTTTATTACTGTTTCTCATTCATGGTTTACATGCTTTTTAACTATATTATGTATTATATACTCCGATCCAATGACATATTTTTCTTAAACAAGTGGTGCATGGATGAAATGAAAAACGAAATTCTCTCTTTTTTAAAAATGTTAGACACTTTTTATGAGATTAGATATTAAAAAAATATAAAATATTTTTAGTATAATTAACTATTTTATTAGAAGGTGAGATTTGATTAAAAAAATCTTATACTTCCTTCATTTTTATCTATAGGAGAAGCTGTCGCTTTTACGTTTTTTTATATAAGTAAAATTATATTCTTTAATAGGTAGTTACTACAAGTTTCTCAAATTATACCTCATACTCTCATTATTCACAATCATAAGAAATAATTAATGAATAATTAATTAACATAATTAATATAAAGTATCGTAGTCTAATTTGTTTAATTTCAGATACAGTTAATATAGTTAACTTATTTTTAAACTGTGTAATACAATTTTTTTTCTTATAAATAGAAATGAAGGGAATATTTTTGAATTGAAGGAATTAATACATAATATTATGAGATACACACACAACTATACCAATGATCCTCGAAACTAATTAAATATAACAAGTGTAACGATAAGTAGTAGGATTTCTTTAAATACCCTTAATTAGAATGCAATTAATAAAGTTTTTTAATTCCTCTAGAATTTAAAATATTCTGAGGGAATCTTTTTTTTCATCTTAATTCCACAATGCATGGTAATTTATTTCTTTTTATCTATGGAAAGATTAGATGAATTGAACGCTACACTGGAATTAATGTTGCGTTAAAGTCTTACCAACACACTAATTAGCAAAAATTATTTCTAGCATTATTTCCTTGCACATACCAAACAGTAGAAATGCTCTCCTTTAACTTTAAAAAACAAACAAATCACTCTAAATCCTATCTAAAATCGTTAATATGAATTAAGTAATTTTGGTTTTAAAAACACTTAATTCATCTTAATGTCTTTATTCAATTAAAAATAAAGAAAAAGTAGCAAAACTTTATTTTGGGAATAAAGCCGTATGTAATTTCAAAGTGCTTTGGCCTTACCCTAGGATTATCACTCAAGCTGGTTCTTCTGAATTGCCTTGAGAGCAAGGACATAGCTTTGTGATACTGATACGACTACGATCTTAGAGCTAGACCCATCGTGGATGTCCTCAGCTGTTGCTCTTCATGTTTGGTTTGGCATGTGTCAGTGGTAAGATACGATGAATTGTGTGTATCAATCAAACCGTGTTATCTGTTACTTGCACTCTTCTTTCCACATTGAATTTTGCCGATCCGCTTAATCTTTTTATCTTTTTTAATTCGGGGCATGTCTTAAAGTATGTTTCGTTTTTTTGCTTTTTTTTTTTTATAAAACTTTTTTCTTCCTTTCCTTTGCAGTATCTCTGAAAGATTTTGTTAATAAACCATTGCTCCACTTATTTTGATGTCCTCATGCTTTATCTTATCATGAATGGTTGTAAGATTTGATAGATCTTTCATATGATGTGGATGGATGTAGTTATATTCTACTGCAACACTGGAAAAAATCGTGAATTTAAGTGCAAGAATGATTAATGAAGGTATATACAATTTTTAGAGGATGCTTCATGTTATTGATATATATTTGATGTTATGAGGCTAGTGTGTTTGTGATTTTCTGGTTAAATGATATAATAACAAGGTGATTGCCTTATTTTTTAACTTTCTAATTGCTTTTTCGGTTTTGTTTGGGGACTTGATTTGATTTTTTTTTTTAACCTGCAAGAGGATTTTATATTTAACATTTCGATTTTTATTTTTTAAAAAATTAGGGATAACTTAATGTGGCCGTTTTTAAAAATAAAAGAAAAAATATTGCAATTAAAACTGATTGCATGTTGGCAAAAGAGCGAGACGTTTGGAGTGGTTTGTTGGCTTTTGTGGAAGCGTAGGAGTGAGCGTGTTTTCTTGCAGAACACTGATTCAATTACAGCTTGTGTGGCTGAGGCACGTGGCATTGCACAATGTACGCCTGAGAGAGACATCAATCTGATGAGAGTTCCTGTTATGCATGGTGGCGGAGGAAGCGTCTTCGTTCTAACCCGACACATGCTAGTGGATGTGGAGGGTTGATCTATCTTTGCTTCTGCACAAATTTTGGAAGCCTTCTTCGGCTGGAGCTATGGGATTTCATCGAGCCTGGAATAAAGAAATGCGCTGCGTGCATGATTCCATGAAAGCTATTTCTTCGATCTGGTGGTTCTGATGCACATGAGAACTGGGCAGTTATATGCTCCAGAGGGAGTGGCAGGTCGAAGTTCTGAAGATTGATCGTCAGAGAAACGAGGCAGCGAATCGACTTGCTAAGCACACTTTGGGACAGTCCAACCCTCTGAAGATTCTTATTGGAGCAGAAGCTTGCACGATCTTGAGGGATGTCGAGCCTGGTTAATTTCTTTATTGCGCTTTTTTTTTTTCGTTTTATTGTTGTCGCTTTTTTTTTTCTCTGACCATAAAAAAAAAAAAAAAAATAAGGCTTCTTTTTAATTTTATATTATATATTGATATTATAAAATTTATATGGATATACTATATAAATAGTATAAAATAGACTAAAACGGAATCGAGTATGTATTTCTAACTTATCTATTTGAATGCAACATCAACTGAATTTTATGAACGAGGCTGGGATCAGATTTTAAAGCAACTAACAAAGGCATAAACAAACTTGGTTCACCGCTTTGGAATAGGGCAAGGACGGGCTTCTTATTATTATCAAGTCAAACTTGGTCCGGCCCAAAGTGTATCCACCCTTCTTGCACTCAATTTGTTCAAGTGTTGTCGATTCATAACTTCAGACTAATTCTTGCACAACTACATTTTTTTGTTTTTCTAAATAAATCAGAATAAATTAAATTTCATTTCCAAAAAAAGACGGTGTAACCTTCTCAAATATCCACTCAATATATAAGAAGATTACAATATTATTACTGCCTCACATCAATTACAATAATCAAATTTCATTTCAAAAGTTTCGCCCGAAAATTTATTTTGTAAAATCATTCAATTCAGAATACAATCAGAGAAACAAATAGCGAAAACAAATCATACACTCCTCTAATACGTAGTGGGCATAATCCACTAACATTCCAATCCTAATGACATGCATTTTCATCATAAAATAAAATTAAGAATTGGTCTATCCGCCGCGGCGTGCAATTCATGCACTGTGGCATGTGGCACAAAGCCACACGCTCATCCTTTCTATGCCGTGTGCTGCTGCATGTATCACCATGCACCACGGTGCACCTGTAAAAATGACAAACCTCTAGCGTGCGTCATTTTCACATACGACATCCAATCGGAGTGATTCAAGTATCCACACGTAGCGTAACTCATAAGCTAACTAATGAGATAGGTTTGGACATGATATAACGACGATCAAAATTCAAACACTCAAGTGTAAAAAGTTATTTTAAAAAAAAATCACACCCAAGTGCTCAAATTGATCTTTTTCTCTCATTAGACTATACTAGGCCTTAAATCAAGTCTAGAAGGATCTAATATACCTGATTGACCATAATTAAATACGACCATACTCATATATCAAAATTTGACCCTTTTATGGTCAATTTTCACAATTTCACAATTTTATACACTTTGCCATTTCTTGACATAACTTAAACCCACTTGGCCTATTCTAATCCCATTCATATACAATCATGTTCACAATAAAATCTTAACCTTCAAATTACTCATTTTATCATAATTCGTCCCTTGGCTTAAGACTTACCAACACACAATCATTTCAACACAATATACTCAAATCATGGCCTCTTGTTTCAATCAACACATATACATATAATCGAACTAGATTTCACAAAATTTCAATTCAATTCATGCATGCAACCCTATGACAACTCATTTACATATATATACACATAAAATCATGGTTCAGTTCATTACACAGACTCAAAATACACAGCTTCACCACTCAAGCTGGTTCAGACTCTTTTTCCTTACTTTGATCACTTCCCGATCCTGTAAATATGTAACTATGAGGGTGAGATAAAAATCTCAGTAACAGAATAACTCACTTCTATTAACTATCACTTTCAACAATATGAAAGTAGAGCATATTATATCATTAAAACCTCATATAGCATTTATAACACATATCTTATTTCATTCTTGACTTTTCATCAATTACATGGGATTCCATGTCATCTTGAAGCATATCTCATCATATCACATAGTATGCTAGCATAATCACTATTGACCGAACCTTCAAATCACTTTAACACGAAACTATAGGCTCACTTTAGAACAATGTGCACTCTCGTTGGCCTTGAGTTCACCTGCAGTGGTAGAATCACCCGGCCAAAGATGTTCTAACTCATAATATGGACTATGGTTTCCCCTAATATAT